AGGAGGTGGGGGGGTTACCTTTTTTCAGAAGTAAAATTAGTGAGAAAAAGTCCTACAAAGATTAGTTATTTCCTTTGCTTAAGGGCCCGTGGTAACTGAAAATTTACATTTTTAGTGCTTTTAATCAACGTTTTTACGAAAAGTCCAAACAGAAATGAGTTCTTTAATGGGCATGAAAAGTGCTGAGTCAAAAAACAACAATTTGATAAAAATTCACCACCCTGTGGAAAAAATGCACGTTTCTTCACTTTGATTATTTTGACCAGAGCATGATTCCACCACGCTGTCTCACATATGTTACACCGAGACCAGGACAGCCTATAATAACGCATCACTAAATTGAAAAAGACATATGAGGTGGAATGAAAATGAGCACATCAAAGACAGAAGTAATAAAGATATCCAGAAACGAAATATCGTTGAATATCCACATGAGCAACACACAACTGAAACAAGTACATGAATGTGAATGCATTGGAAGCATGTTCACAGCAGACGAAAACATATGGACAGAGATATTGAAATAAGGGTACAATAGACAAATGAGGTCACAAACCAACTAGCACACACCCTCTCATAGCAAAACACCAAAATGGAGACCAAGAACCAACTAATCAGATCAGTCTTTTTACCAACTCTCTGCTGCCAGTGGAAAACTTTGACCTCCAACAAAGCGCAGTAAAATACAGGAGGATTAAAAAAAAACAACCCCAAAAAACACTAACCAAATAATAATACGTTTTATTTTTAAATGTCTCGCAAAAAATGTTGTTTTAGAAAGCTGTAATTCGTTCAAAAGGAATTCTGTTTGACATAAAATTCATAAAGAAGAAGCTTATATTGAAAACAGAAATGTCTTTTTTTTAAAAGACAGCCATAAACGCAGAGTTCACCAATTCTTTAAAAAATCTAGGAAAAAAAGTCGTGAAACGATTGGTTTACATTCTGTAAAAAATCTCTTTGGCAATTAAGTTAAAATCTCTGTAATATTTAAACAATATTTCGTTTCTTTTACAGAGTTAAAAAACTAACTATGTTATTCTACAATTCCTAAAAGCCGTGCTCTACCTACTCTCCTTTGGACTCGACAAGTTATTTTTATTCGAAATGTTCAGTGGCAGCCACACATAAAGACCAACCAAACCATGCGTGTTAAAAGTCACACACACACTGTGCATATTCAACATGGAGTGGTTTCTAGAGACAATAGAGGGTGGGGTGCCCAATAGACTGCATTTTTGTAATTCCTGAAATGTGTAAATGGGCTTTGCACTTAATCAATGTCATCGAGGCAATGTTCACACTTTTCAAGATGATCGAGGAATCATGAACACATGGTCATGCTTTGATTCATGTCCTCACAGTCTATCGAACATGAAAATAGTACAGTCGTAAGATCTGCCTTGTTAATGCAGACTGTTGGGGTGTAGGAAAGGTCTTGCTGTTGACATCGTCTGCGGACAGACGTTTCTTTGGACTCGACTACTGACATCTGCACCCTGATGACGTTTAAAGAGATGGAAGGATGCCTGTTTGACCTGATAAGTGATCATTTTGTTTGGGAATACTTAGTTCTGATTCGCTATCGATCCAAACTGACGAAGCTTGAAGATTGAAAACGGGTTGTTTTTTTAATACCTCTTACAGAGCAAAATCTTTTAGTGGAATTTTCGAAATGAATATCAGACAAATTCCTAGATGCTTCCCAAAATTGTGTTATAATTTGAAGCACAAAATTCCAGTAGGAAGTAAAATATTTTTAGAACAAATGTGAGGAGGCGTGGTGGAAACAGGCTCTCGTCAAAATAATCAAAGTGAAGAAACTTGCTTTTTTCCTCAGCTTCGTGATATTTTATCAAATTTTTGTTTTTTGGCTCAACACCTTTCATACCTACTAAAGAACTCACTTCTGTGTGAATTTTTCTGAAAGACGTTGATTAAAAGCACAAAGAGTGTATATTTTCAGTTACCACGGGCTTTTAAGCTAAGGAAATACCTAATCTTTGTCAGACATTTTCTCACTAATTTTACCTCTGAAAACAGGTGACCCCCACCTCCTTCATTTGCAAATATCTCGACGTGTATTCAAGATAAATGGATATTTTTTTATTCAAATAAAGATAAGTAAACAAGCTTTAAAATGATACCAATAACTCTACATGCCCCAAAATTGACGAGAGCCTGATTCCAACACACTGCCTCACAAATTGTAAAGTTTTTTTTTTTGTTTTTTTTGTAAAGTTTGTAAAGGTTGAACGTCGAGTTAATATGACCTTAGAAAATACAAGAGTAAGTACTCATTTTTATGAGAATAGCCAGAAACACAGATTCCGAGGGTATATTTAAGGCCACAAATTATACAGTATACGAGAGACTGCCATTGGTATGTCATTTCAACTCTTGTATACTACTGAGCGGTATTAACATTTCAGCAGCCCCTTTTCCCTTTCGCAAACTAATGGAAACAACAACAAAGAAGACATTACTAAAGAAACACACACACACACACACACACACACACACACACACACACACACACACACACACACACACACACACACACACACACACACACAGCAAAGCTACCAGTACCAGTTGTCGCCTGGAGAAACAATCGTCTGTAACTGTAAGCATTAAGTCGAGTTTCTTGGAGGAGGGTCAAGTCGTGGGCTCTGTGGGTGTCTTTTACAGAGTGAGTCCAACGACGTCTTTGTTTCTCCCTGTTTCTTCAGCCAGAGTGTCTAGTGGTTTACACTTCCGTTGCTGGTTGGTCTGAGAGCATTATTGAGATGTGACAAAACTTTTGTTTTCTCTGTTGTCAAAGAAGACGGAAGACTGCTGTTGCTCTTACTGTATCTCTGGCTACCTCATTCTGTCTTTGTCTTGTTCATTGCTCCCCTCAGACATTTCATCTCACAAATGGCCAGTTTTCTCTCTTGTGCGTGTGTTGTTGTTGTTGTTGTTGTTTTTTTGTCAAAGACTACGTCTGACAAAACAACATGGAGTAGCCTACCTAATATCTCAATTACTTGATAAGTTTACAATGTATGCTCTTATTGTCTTTAGGAA